TTGAGTCGATGATGCCATCCAATCATCTCATCTTCTGTTGCCCCCTTCTCCTCCTGCCCTCAATCTTTCCCAGCTCAGGGTCTTTTCCAATGAGTCAGTTCTTTGCATCAGTGGCCAAAGTGTTGGAGCTTCCACATCAGTCCTTCCAATGAATATTCAGGATTGATTTCCTTTAGGATGGATTGGTTTGATCTCTTTGCTGTCCAAGGGAGTCTTAAGAGTCTTCTCCAACACCACAATTCAAAAGCATCAATTCTTCACTGCTCAGCCTTCTTTATGGTCCAACTCTCACAACCATACATGACTATTGGAAAAACCATAGCTTTGTCTATATGGACCTTTGTAGGCAAAGCAAGATCTCTACTTGTCAAGAAATCTATGCCTGATTCTCTTTCTCTGTGAGCCCCTATCCTATCTGCACACAAAATTTAGAAAAAGTCACATTCAAAGGATTCTTCTAAACCACAAGCCTTGGTACAAAATGCTGGAAGTGAAACAGGTGCACAATTGTGACTTGGGGGCTCCTCTTCCACAATCAGATATCAGAGCACAAAGTTCTCTTATTCCTCTTTGCCTTCATCTCCTCCTGCCTTATTTTCTTCTCTCCTCCATGATGCCAGCATCTTTAGGAACCAGACATCATTTCTTTAACCTAGTTGGGCCAAATATGTGGAAGAGTATATTGAGGTGAGGATAGTTTAGCCCCGTTTATTCATGTTGGGTAGGTAGCATTGTAGAAATTGAGGGTAATACCAGGGGAATTGGTATGTCTCACACTATTGAGAGCTTATTATATGCCAGGTATTGTTTCATCTGCTGTACATGTTTCATCTCAGTTCATCACAACAATAAGCGAGGTGGACCCTCAGGACGCAGAGAGAATGAGGAACATGCCTAAGACCCCACAGCTAGCCACTGAGTCGCAGGTGCTTGAGAACCTGGGGTGTCTGATGGCAGAGCTAGGACTACACTCTGTCTGTGCAGAGGAAGCACACGGTGAATTGTTAGCATTTTATGGTGACCATTGTTCAAATATTTCTCTCCCATAGAAATACTGCATGTTAGGCTGTGTTTGACACTTTCATCTTGTGAACTGAAAAAGTAAAATTCACAGAGTAATTGTTGTGAGTTAAGTTTTATCTGGGGCAAGATGAGGACTATAGGCTGGGAGACAGCATCTCAACTCCGAGGAACAGCTGTGAAGAGGGGTTGGGGAAGTCAGTCCATGTGTGATTTTGTGAAGGGGAATATGTACAATCAAGCCACATCTTTTTGCAAAAGGTTGCTGCTAGTCTCCTGATGGTTACCTCTAGTCATGAGGAGCAGATGTCCCCAATAACAATCTTAGTGCCTTTCTAGATGTGAGAGGATGCAAGAATTTGGGCTTATAAAATCTTCTCCTGCAAATATCTAACTATCTGAAAACCTATTCTGCCAGTTTTTCCCACACCAATGTGCCTAAGTTCTGAGCTCCACCCTGAACTCTTTTAGTGTGTGTTGAAGGTCAGCAATTACACTGGCTAGTGACTTAATCCTTGTAGAGGCAGGTGACAAGTGCCAACTTTTAGCTGGCAACCTCATTTAATTTTCACAATAACCCATGGGATTACGGTTTCCATTTAACAATCAAGGAAACTGAATCTCAAAGGCATTCTGTAACTTGCCCAAGATTACTCAGCTAGTGAGAAGGAATGGTCCTGGGCACTCCAACTAGCCCTCACACTCTTTTTATTTCTTTTCAAAGCTCTCTTTGGAGGACATATTGAATTTTTCCTGACTAGACTCCGGAATCTAATGAGGTCATATTGTGACAGTAATAACTCGGATGTGAATGACTGGCATTCCCACCTGCATGAACCCCGCTCACACACTTCTCCTCTTGCTGGGAGCTGCTCCTGCGCTGTGGGCGCACTACTGCCTCCAGGGGATCCCCCTCTCCCAGGGGCCATATAGTCCAGTGGCCTCTGGCAAATGGAGAAGGACTCACATTAGCCTTCACTCAGGCAGTGCTTCTGGGGCCCTGGGACCCTGATGTTTTAGTGTTTTCCTAGAAATGTAAGAAAACCTCTTTTGCTCTGTATTTACAGCCCGTCTGCTGTCTGATTCAGCTGTGAGTGCATGGGGACCCGAGTAGGGATCAGGACCACGAGACAGGTAACATTCTGTGTTCAGAATTATCCTCCTGTTCACTGACTAAGATGTGGGTTTGGACCCAAGAGCCCCTAATTTTTTTAGAGGGGAAATTCCTTTTCCTGAACTATGTGGCCTGGGTGGAAGGTAGTACCCGTCTCCTACTAGGGAGGCTGAGGGGCCAGAGCCTCCTCTCCTGCAGTCAGGGAGTAAGCACGTGGCCTCATTTGACCAATCAGTGCTCTCCTCTGAAACAAGCTGAGTGAGTGATACAAAGAAAAAAGGGATGAGGAGTCCTCAGGTGAGTCATCCAGTCCTGAGGCCTGACCCTCCCACTCCCCTAATGTCTGCGGGTTTCAGGCCTTTAGCTGATTCTCTGAGCTCTATCCTTTCAATAAGTGGCCTTTCATGTAAAAATACCCAGGGTATATTTCTGTTGTACACCATTAAGGAGCCTGAAATGCACACGGATTTACAAGGTAAATGTCAAGAAAACTTTGTGGTCCTTTTCCCCCTTCTTTTCATCCCCCTCTCTCTTAACTTCTCTTCTGCTCCCGAGTCCCCATGGGTCAGGTTAGCCTTCACTGCTCAGGCCCCCTCATGCTGCTAATTTTACTAAGCTTCCCTTTCCAGAACCCAGAGCTCTGGGTTTCCTTCTCCACTTTTTACCACAATCCATGTGACAGCATATCTCAAATTTTCTTCAGCAAGCGCTGCTGTTCAACAGGACTTCATGGTTGTAAAGCGATACCATGAAACCATATATTTTATTTATTTTCTTTTTATAATTTTATGTATTTATTTTTGGCTGTGCTGGGTCTTCATTGCCTTGCAGGCTTTCCCAACTTGCAGAGAGCAGCGGCTGCTCTTCACTGCAGTACACGGGCTTCTCGTTGTGGTGGCCTCTTTTGTTGTGGAGCACAGGCTCTAGGGCACGTGGGCTTCAATCACTGTGGCTCCCGGGCTTTAGAAACAGGCTCAATAGTTGTGGTGCCCAGGCTTAGATGATCCATGGCATGTGGACTCTTCCCAGATCATAGATCGAACTTGTGTCTCCTGCATTGGCAGGCAGATTCTTTACCCCTGAGTCACTAGGAAAGCCCAAAGCCACACAGCTTACCTGACAGAAAATTCCGGAAACAAAATCTTATAGGAGGGATATGTGGACCAAACAAAAGAGCAGCTGCTCTGGCCCCCATTGAGCTTGGAAACACTTGGGGAAAAAGTGTTATAAGCCAACCTGTGACTCCCCTCAGCTCCCTGAGAATATTCACAGGTGATAATGGTTCTGAACAGGCAACAGAAAGTATTTGATGGCGCCAACTCCTCCCATCTCTACCACCATCCCAATGTGTAGTATTAAACAAATCATCGGACACTTTTGAGTTTTACTTTTTGAGTTTGGAAAAATAAGGCATTATATTTTCTCTAAGTTTCTTTCAATACTATGGTCTGAGTGTTACATATTCCATTACCTTTTTCATTTTAATATAAGAATTTTGAAAATGTCAAACTTTTGAGTCCCAGGCACATCATCACTATACTGAAATAAAGCTTTATGACAGGCTAGAAGGAGGAGTAGTTTTGGTTGCTTGGTTGGCGGTGAGAGAGAAGGGAAGAAGAGAGGTGAGGTACCCTCAAATTTTTTGGTTCGGGTTTCCTGGCAATTGCAACTCCACAACCAATTCCTTCTCTCATTAGACTAAGAATGCCAAGAGCTCAACCCTTCCCCCTTTCCCCCACCCCAGCATGGTAGGAAGGCGCTCCCTAATGCACTTCCATATTTGGCCCAAGCTCAAGACAGTTGCTCTCCTGGTATTACTGACCACAGTTCTTGGCCTCCTTAATTAATAGAAATTGCTAAGAGGCCAGATAAGAAATTCAGGCAAGGCTTTATTGGGACTCCTGTTGCACAGAGGAAGAAAGAACAAGCAACAGGTTCCCTTGCTTGCTTCCTGGTGTGGGGACGTGGGGGGGTGAGCTGCTTCCTTATATGGGTAAGGGTAGGGGTGTATCCAGGGGGTCCAGCTGGAGGGGTGGCTTAGGTCACTTGTCCACCTCTTTGGTGATGTTGTGTGCAGGGGGCATGCTCAGTACCCTGTTTTTGCTCCAGCTCTTCAGAAGCAGCAGTTGGGTTTTCAGTCTTTGTATATCTTGTTGTCCATAACTTTCCCCAACTGGCATACACAGTTATCTATAGTTTCTTTGTATTTTGTTGCTCAAGGAGACACTGCAAGCAAAGAGTCCCAGGTTCCAGGTCCCAGCCTGTCTCACTGGTATTAACACTTATAGAGCATTATCAGTCATCACTCAAATGCAACATTATCAACTCACATTGGAGTGCTTTGGTTCAAAACACAGTAAGTGGATCCACAGTTTCTCCTGGAGGAAACAGAAATCCCCACTTGTCACTCTGCACAGAGCAGGGAAGTTTCTTTTCTTATGGCTTCGTGTGTGAGTGCTAGGTCTCTTCAGGCATGTCTGAAACTTTGCAACCCCCTGGGCGTAACCCCCCAGGCTCCTCTGTCCATGGGATTCTCCAGGCAAGAATACCAGAGTGGGTTATCATGCCCTCCTCCAGGGGATCTTCCTGACCCAAGGGTTGAACTCACATCTCCTGTGTCTCCTGCATTGGCAGGAGGGTTCTTTACCACTAGCGCCACCTGGGAAGCACGTGTCTTTGTATTTCTCTCCCTTGAACTTGGGGGGGGTACATTCACATTGCTACCTCAGTTACAACTCATACCAATAAATGTTAGCTATGATTATCCTGGTAGTAGTTACTATCTCTTCAATTTTGCTCTAAAGTTATAATGTTTGTAAATTCTTAAAAAATAGTACCATTTACTTTCAACATTTATATGGAAGAAATGTACTCTTATCTTTATTGTAGATGAAGAAACCAAGTGATGAAAGTATGGGTAACTTCCCCGAAGTCTCACAAACTGTAGGAGGCAGAACTGGGACTATGAACCAGCGTTGTTGATCTGTCTCCAAGTTATTATTGCTGAAAACAATCTTGAAGGAGAAGGAAAATTTTCCAGAGCTTGGGCAGATCACCTTGGAAATCGGAGGCAGATAAGCACCTATTTAGTCTGTATTCATTTAGACTCAGGGCTCTCTAAAAGCAGGAAGTGGAAGGCGCGAGGGTTTGCCACAATATTTGTCGTTCATAAGTCAGAAATAAGCAATCAGTGCCTTTTCACGTAGGGCACTATAATAAAACACTGGCACAGTCCCTGCAATTTGGTTTTGCAAAGAAAACAGGAAACAAGCACATTTTCACTGTGGCTTCAGTCTAAGGAGGGCTGGCATCTGCTGACTGGCGGGCTGGATTTTCTTGTCAATAGCCCGTGTTTACTATCCTGGTAACATGAGCAGAGGGAGGAGGGTGAGTCACAGTAACTGACTGCTAAATTAGGAAAATGTAATCCATTTGTTTCTTTTAAATTAGATGCCCCCAAAGCATCTTAAAGCTTTTTCCCTCAGCAACCATAGTCACAACCTAAACAGTTAATGGATTCCTAATTTGTGCTAATCTAGCTATTATAAGTAAATAAATGATCATTTTGTAGCATTCTTTTCCTATGTGAGGGCAAGACTTTGAATATACTGCTTTTCATCTACAAATGCCAAAACCTGGTAGATTTTCTGTCTTTGCTTTTCTCAAGCCCGCCCCTCACTACTTACCTGCAGAGTCATCGAAATACAGTGCATCACTTTGCACGTTACATTGCTAGTGAACAACATCGCATTTCTCAACCAATATGAGTCACTGATCAGCAGCTCTGCAAGGAATCAAAGGGGGTCACTCGATGTGACTTCTCCATTTTATAGATAAAACTGAAGTCCAGCAAGGTTTAAGGAATTTGATGAACTCCAGGTCTCTGGACGCCTAATTCCCCATTTAAGTCCCTTTCTTTTCCCTGTGGTACACCTGCATTCCAGGAAATCAGTGTCACTCAAGAAACTCTGGTTTGAATGAGTGAAATGTATGATGATCAAAACAATCAGTCCATCGAGCAAATAAAACAGCAGATCCATGCAACAGTCATCGTCCCTCAAGAGGAGTACTGGGGTAAAGTCACTGGCCAGGAGCTTTTCATAGAAAGTACTTCAGTTTAATCTCTAGACCTGCACCCATTCTCTTAATTTCTTTTTAAAATTTTCTGACTTGAATCAGAGCCTGGTTTCTGGTTTCACCCAAACTTAGCAATGAGGTCCGAGACATCTGGATTTATTCACGCATAAACATGAGGTTGCCTGTTTTGAGCTTTATTTTCATGCTGCAGCTCTTTGAAAAACCTCTGATTGGTGTTTCTCCAAATGAATAGAGCTATGCGGAGCACAAAGCAAGCACAAAATAATTGTTGTCAGTGATGGTATTGACTGAGATAAAGTATGGGTGATGATAGAAAGGGTGGTGGGGGCGGGGGGGTTAGATAATTCAGGATTGAAAAGGTGGATGAGGGAAAAGAGAGGTTGAGGCTTGAGTAGTAAGGGCAGAAGTGAGGAGCACAGGAATTATGCAGGAGGACATGGAACAGGTGATGCGAATTATCCATGTGTATGTTAAATGAGAAGGAGATAGAGCAATTTTTACATTAAATTCCAAGCAATGGGCTAGTTTATAGTAAGCCATCTTAAAGTCAATGGCATGGTTAATACTATGTGGTGAGAAGAAAGTCAATGAATTCAAAGCCAAATGCGTAGCTTTGCAAGCACTGACTTGTATAGTAATCCACGTTTCAGCTTTAGAGAGAATGTTCACCTCAAGGAGCCATGTATTTTAACATTTCTGGGTGCGATAAAGCAAGAATGGTCAGGGCACTTTGGTGCAACTCAGGTTTCAGGACATGAGTCTCTAATATTTGGCCCTGCCGCTGTGGAGCAGTAGCTCTGATTACAGTGTTTCCAATGAGCACTTTCGAGGATATGACTCTGGGGAGAAGAATACCAAGCCTGTGATTGTGACTGCAACACAAATTGGCTCTGAGGGTCCTTTAATGAAAAGATTTCCACATCACCTCCATCCACCTTTACCCTCCCCCCGCACCGCCTCAATATTCTGGCCATGTTAGAGTGGATGTGAATTCCATAAACTGCATATGAGAAAGAAAACAACTGTATTTTTAGTGTCAAAACACAGAAAGGAGAAAGGGGAGGGAATAAGATATAAGTGCTACAGACCCTTGGGACTCACAGCTATCTTGCTCCTTGGGGCTTAGAAGTTTCTTTCTGGCAGATGCTCCCTTGAAAGGGGGAAACAGAATTCAGACTTATTGCAGGTAGGGCTTCCCAAGTGGTTCAGTGGTAAGGAATCTGCCTGCCAATGCCCAAGATGCAGTAGACGCAGGTTCAAGCCTTGGGTCAGGAAGATACCCTGGCAAGGCAAGTGGGCTCCCTCTCCAGTATTCTTGCCTGGAGAATCCCATGGGCAGAGGAGCCTGGCGGGCTGCAGTCCATAGAAGCACAAGGAGTCAGACATGACTGAGCATGCACTCACTTGCAGCAGATTAGGGTTCAGGAGGCCTTGATGGGTGCCATGGGATCTGGGGAAAGGTGGTATCATTCGTGTTTCAAGCTCTGCTTCTGTTCTGCAAGTGTGGCAGGTGGAGTTTAATGAGCAAATATTTTCAGTTTCCTCCCTCTCAGGCCCTCATCTCTTCCATGGATTTCTGTGCCTCCCTTCCCATCTACTACATGAGAATCCAGTTGGATTCTTGGATGGTTTATGAACAAAACTTGGGAGAATTAAAGAGGGTAGGCTAGATAAAAAGGGGGTCAGAGAAGTGAGGATTGAAATGGGAAGGTTGGTGGAAAGGGAATGGGATGGGGTAAATTGCTTAGTGTGGTAACGTGAGCATCTTAGTCACTCTATTACGTCTGACTTTTTGTGACTGCTTGGACTGTAACCTGCCAGGCTCCTCTGTCCATAGGATTGTCCCAGCAAGAATACTGGACTGGGTTGCCATGTCCTCTTCCGGGGTAGGTAGTATGGCAATGCTGAGCTACCAAAGAAGAGAGGAGAGAAAACAGTGTGGGCTATTCTGGAGAGGGAATTTTTTTGCAAATGAGGGACACAGAAGGAGTGAACAAAACCTGTGAGTGTGAAAGAAGGGGCTTGCCCTGAATTAGAACCTCTGAGAGAGATGAAAATAAAGATTCACATCTTCTTAAATTGCTACTTGGCAGCTGGGCCAGTCCTCTGAACATAGAGATGAGACCACAGGAGATCTGCTTATATTTGGATTATACAACAAAGGTGGAGACTTAAATACCCTCTAGTATAAATTGTCTCTGTTTTTCTAAGAAAGAAACCCAGGGAATTCCCTGGTGGCCTAGTGGTTAGGATTCAGGGCTTTCACTGATGAAGCACAGGTTCCATCCTTGGTCAGGGAACTGACATTTGGCAAGCTGTGTGGTGTAGCCAAGAAAAAAAAAAAAAGGAAAGAAACCCAAATGATGCAGAGATCTTTGACTGCAACAAAGATTGGGGAGAAGCCAATAGCTCTGAGAAGCTGTGTTCAGTCGCTTCAGTTGTATCTGACTCTTTGTGACCTATGGACTGTAGCCTGCCAGCCTCCTCTGTTCATGGGATTCTCCAGGCAAGAGTACTGGAGTGGGTTGACATGCCCTCCTCCAGGGGATCTTCCCAACCCAGGAATCGAACCCATATCTCTGGCATCTCCTGCATTGTAGGCAGTTTCTTTAACCACTGAGCCTCTTCGGAAGCCCATTAGCACACTAAGACCCCCTAAACTTTGCTCCCTTTAGCTCATGATATTAGAATGTGGAGAAGCAAACCTCTTCTCCAGGGGATCTTTCTGTCCCAGGGATCAAACCTGGGTCTCCTGCATCACAAGAAGATTCTTTATCATCTGAACCACGAGGGAAGTCCCTCTGAGAAGCTAAACTCGCCTATTATGAGACATTGGAAACTTGTTCCATACGATTTAGACTGAGATGCTTAAAGGGGTTGTCTTTGCAGGGCACTGGTTTTCAATGGCTGTATCAGATGGAGCTGTATCTCTGCAAATGTTTCTTGCAGAGAAATTGCCCCTCTGACACCAAGAATGTGAACTGTAAGACATCCTCAGTTACAGAAGCAGGCGATATCCTGCGAAGTTCAAAAGCTGAGAGAACTCTTCAAAGAAATTGAGATCCATTGTTTTAGGAAGATTACATTCCAGAGACATTCATTCAACCAACTACCTCCTTCTTGCTTTCCAAGTTAAATTTCAGGGAAATTGAAGTTTTGGTTATAAACTAGCTGAGAGTTTCATTTAATTTGTTCATCATGACCATAGTTACAAAGGGCTCTGCTCATTTTAAGGTATCCATTTCTTTTTCTTGTTTTTAAAATTTTCTATTTTAAGAAAATAAAGAATATCCCTCAGAAAATAGCTCTCTAATTACCGCTTTCAATCTTTCGGAAGGTCCTAGTGTGGTCATCAGAGCCCCCGTTCTGGTCAAATCTTCATTTCTTCGAAGAATACTTCTAGCTGTTGCTTCATCCATTGTGTGATCAAAGGGAATACTCCTGGGGTACCTGTTTAAAGAATGGGTGGTATAAGAGGGAACCATAAACAGTCCCAGACCAGGGACTCTTTGCAAGGCTTTGGTATAAAACAATTGCCTGAGTGTAACTGAAAATTCCTGTTTATGTATCAGGTAATATTTCTTAAACCTTGGATTTAAAATCAGCCTGGGACATTAAATCTCTCAACCTTCCTCCCCCCACCGCTTAGTGAACTCTGGGGAACAACTATCGAACCAAACCAAACCAAACCAAACCAAAAACTGTACTTTGAATTCCCTTATGTTTCAAGACATACACGTCAGAGGAAACTGTTTAAAATGACTTACCCCAACACAAACAATTGTGAGGGAGAAGGAAGGAAGAAAAACTTGCCAGTTCACAAGATCACTTTTCCTCTACTTACTGCCTGCTTTTGCTGACCTGACAAATTAAAAATATGTTATTTCCTCAGAGCATTTTAGACATACTTGTAGCAATATTTTGAAAGAGGAAAAAGAGTTCTGTTTGCTTCCACCCTCAGGCCTCTTGGACTTTGGTCCCCTGAGCATGATCCTGGGTTTGGAAGCCCTCCAAGTGACAAAAAATTGGCGGGTTCCTCATCATTGATTCCTTGCTAGCTCTTTGGGGAGAAGAGTTCTGCTCAGGACTTGGCCGCGTTCTTAGCTTGGGGCCCCAGCCAGTTACTCAAAGTTCAAGGAACTTGACAGACAGAGGCTGTTTGTCTGGCAAAACGATGTGAACTGGCCGGGCCGAGCCTGCCATCTCACGCCGGCACCTTCTGTCTCCTTCCAGGGAAGCTTGTTTCCAACCAGGCTCTCAAGGCTGTGCTCTGTATGAGAAGACCTTTGCCCAACATGGGTGACATTGGCCCTGTGTTGAGGCGAATTTTGGATCTTTGTAGAATCCTAATCCATGCAGTCTCATAGTGTACTGCAGGAACAGTGGTAGTGTGTGTGTGTGCACGCATGTGCATGCACGTGTGTGTGTTTAATCCAAACAGTAAAAAAAAAAAGACAGAAGGCTAAGACAGATTTCCAGGAAACAGACTGTGTTAGTCTAGACTAGCAAAATCTAGCCAATTTAATTTCTGAATTTGTGATCATTATTTCCATACTTATTTTGTATTTAATCTCCCTAAGAATGAGTTCAAAAGTGAGGAAAACAATGTTTGTGCACTGAGCTTTCAAATGACCAACCAATTTCAACTAGATGCCATACTGGCATCTAGAGAGCTAAAATTCCAAGAATTAGATTTCTATATTGTTTCTACGAAAAAGAACTTTCTTGTGCATCTTAAAAAGCCTACTTTTTTTTTTAATAGCAAAAGCAACACATGTCATTGTTGAAACTTTAGGAAAAAAATAAGCAAAAAGAATAAAATTAAAATAATATGTGTTCTCCCTATCCAGATATAAGATAACACTGTTTTGTTAGGTAGGAATTGATTGAATTAGGTAGAACAAAATTTGAATTATGGGTTTAAAGGTATGATTCAGAGCAGGTTCATCTACTTAAGCATTAATTTTCTCTAATTTTCTCTCTGTAAAATGAGAAATCTGTGTTTATAAGAGTGTTGGAAGATTGTGGCAAAGTTCTGGGGCACAAAAATAACTGTTGATTGATAATATCTGTATTTTACTGCCTAAACTACTCATAGCTTGTTATTAGTTTTGTACCACCTTCCAAACATGAGCTCATTTAATTAGTCTTATGCTTCTTTCCTGTGTTGTGATGACATGAATTTATGGCTCTAGTATTCTGGTTCTTGGGTCTGTTACTTAACACTTGTCTGGGAAAAGAAGTATACAGAGCCATATTTTGTAGTGAGCGAATCTAGTTTCATCACTCCATTATTTTTGGCAGTAAATGTTGTTGAGGCAAGTCTGAGACCAACTTGATTTTCTTCTTTTTTAAAACAAATTTTATTTACTTACTTGCTTGGCTGCATCAGGTCTTTGTTGTGTCCTGTGGGATCTTTCCTTGCAGCTCATGGACCCTCTAGCTGTGACACGCAGGCTCCGGAGCACACAGGCTCAGTAGTTGCAGCTCATGGACTCTAGAGCGTGGGCTCAGTAGTTGTGGCTCACGGGCTTGCTTGCTCCACCGCATGTGGGATCTTTGTTCCCTGATCATGAATTGAACCTGAGTCCCCTGCATTGCAAGGTGGATTCTTAACCACTGAACCACCAGGGAAGTCCTGATTTTTTCTTTAAAGGTGATTTATTTTACCTAGTAGATGCCTGAAGATTTTCTTCAAGTTCAGTGATGTACTCAGGATAAACTTTGATATTGATATTGTAATTTAAAGGTTCCTGGAACATGGTATTCACTTTTCATCTATAGTTTCAGTAGTATCTTAAAATTCAGACAATTCTCTTGTATTATATCTTAGAAAATATCTTCTATTTTGAGGTTTTTCAACTCAAATGTATCAATTATTCTTCTATTGGATTATGTCTATCTACCATATATTGTTTTCTGTATAATTGCCTTGTTTTTCCATTTGTATCCACTGGGTCAGTAATTTAATTTTCAGCAGTTTTTATTCTCTTTAAATTTTATTAGCTCTAAAACATTGCTGGTTTGTCTTTCAATTTGTTTACTTCATCTAGAAATCATCTTTTTAAAAATCTCATTTCCTTTCTATTTTATTGATTTGATCTTTTTATTTGATTGTACTATAATGAGAAGGAAGTTGAGTAATGTGCTTCTGTAACTTGAGTTAAAGTTTTATCTAGAATTTTCATCTTTTGCGTAGTATAATGTCTTTTTCCCCCTTTATTTTCTTCTGCTTAATGCCTTTTTTTGTCAGACTTTTTATTTTATTGTATTCTTTTATGTGTTTTTAATTAAACTTTTTACTTTGAGATAATTGCAGTTGCACATACATTGTAAGAAACAATATAGAGAAATTTGGGATATTCTTTGTCAATTTCCATCAGTGATAACATCTCATAAAAACTATACTAAAATATCACAGCTAGGATATTAGGGTATTGGCATTACTACAACCAATCTTATTCAGATTTCCCAGGTTTACTTGTACAGGCATATCTCAGAACTATTTTGGGTTTGGTTCTAGACCACTGCAAAAAAAACTGACTATTATAATGAAGCAAGAATGGAGCTGGAGAAATCAACTTTCTGGACTTCAGGCCATTCTACAAAGCTACAGTCATCAAGACAGCATGGTACTGGCACAAAACCAGAAGTATAGACCAATGGAACAAGATAGAAAACCCAGAGATAAACCCACACACCTATGGATACCTTATCTTTGACAAAAGAGGGAAGACTATACAATGGAGCAAAGACAGCCTTTTCAGTAAGTGATGCTGGGAAAACTGGACAGCTACGTGTAAAAGGGTGAAATCAGAACACTTCCTAACACCATACACAAAGATAAACTCAAAATGGATTAAAGACCTAACTGTAAGACCAGAAACAGTTAATTTTTGTATATGGCATAGGTCAGGGGTCCAATTTCATTCTTTCGTGTGTTGATATTCAGTTGTTATAGCACCATTCGTTGAAATGACTATTGTTTACTTATTGCACTGTCTTGGTATCCTTCCCCAAAATCACTGGACCACAAATACGAAGGTGTTTTTCCCTCTGAACTCTCAGTTTGGTTCCATTGAGCTATATGTCTATTCTCATGGCAATTGTTGATGCCTTCTCCCTAGGCCTGTGTGTGTCCTGTCCCTCTCCCTTTCTCCCCAGTTCACTCATACACATGATTACTTTTTATTTTTTTGGCTATGCTGGGTCTTCGTTTCCACCTGTGGGCTTTCTCTAGTTGCAGTTGAGTGGGGGCTACTCTTCATTGCAGCCTGAGGGCGTCTCATTGTGATGGTTTTTCTTGTTGCAGGCTTTAGGACACACAGGCATCACTAATTGTGGCACACAGGCTTAGTTGGCCCATGCATGTGGGATCTTCTAAGACTAGGAATTGAGCCTGTGTGCCCTCCTTTGGCAGGTGGATTCCTAACTACCAGAGCACCAGGGAAGTCCCAAATGTGACTACTTTGAGATTGCCATCATTTCCCTTAGAGTCTCACCTCTGCTGCTTCTCCGGGCCTTGGATGTCTTATCGCAGTCCTCCGCCTGTAACCTCCTGGTTCAGACACCCATGGTCTGCAGTCCTCCTGCAGCTCTCCCCGCGGCCACTGCTTTCAGCCTCCTTCAGTTTGATATTCCAATTACACCATGGTTCCTAGAAGCCCTCTGTATTAGGCAAGACTGAGGCAGTCCCTTATGTAACTCCCAGACAAGCCTGAAGGGTGCAAACAGGTTTCACTTTTTTCCTTCTGTCCTGAGAAAGGAACTGGGAGTTGGACGGCTTCCTCAGTTCACCAAGGTGGGGTGGAGATGGGAAAAGGGTGAACAAAAACACCAGAATGTCCTACCATTCTGAGTGTGACTTCTTGTTTCGGGATGGGCCTGGTTGCTGTAGATCCTAGCTAGTGTCTACAGTCCCCACAAAACTGCTTGGTGTGTATGCAGCTTGGTGTTTCATGGGAGAACAGAACGGGTAGCTTCCTAGTCCACTGTCGTGCCGATGCCACTGCCCTGTTCCGCCCTTTTTAAGTCTCTCACAAGTGTGTTGCCTCGGCTCTGGCAACCGTGTTTCTCACCCTTGGTTGTCCGCTAGATCACCTGGGGAGTTTTAAGAAAAATCCCAATATCCAAACCACACCCCAGACCATTTCAATCAGAACCCACAGAGAATGGACCAGGTCATCAGGATTATTTTCTTTTTTCAGACATTTTTCTTTGGTGGTGAAAATACTTGCCACTTTAACCATTCTTCAGGGTAGAATTCATTAAATCATTCATTTAAGTACACTCATGAGCTTTGCAACCATCATCACCATCCTTCTCTAGAACTTTATTATTTCAAGTAGAAACTTAGTATCCATTGAACACCAACTCTTCCTTCCCCTTTCCTCTCCAACCCTTGGTAATCACTATCTCTAGGAATTTGTCTATTCTAGACAACTCCTGTAAGTGGAATCATACACTTGTAAGTGGAATCATACAGTCCTGTTGTGTCTGCCTTATCCATTTAGCATACTGTCTTCAGGTTTTATCCATGTTGTGACATGTGCTAGAATTTCCTCTTTAAGGGTGAACAACATTGCACTGTGTGTATATACCACATTTAGTTTATCTGTTCATCTGTTGATGGACACTTGAATTGCTTCTACCTTTGGCTCCTGTGAATATGCTGCTGTGAACTTTGGTATATAAATATGTATTTGAGTCCTTGGTTTCAATCCTTTTGTGTGTATACTCAGAAGCGGAACTAAGGGACCATATGGTAATTCTTTAATATTTTGAGGCACCTACATCAGTATGCTTCAAGTTCCCCACGAGACTCCAGGGTGCAGTCACATTGACTTTCACTGCCATAGAAACTTACTTGTTTCTTTCAGTTAAATGTTACCTCTTCTCTTCTGAGTTCAGTTAACATT